CCACCGCCTTCGACGGCGGCCGGCGAGGCTCAGCCTTCCTCCGTCTGGCGCGGAGCGGCTCCCGGTGCACCGGGCCGCCCCCGGGTTACGGGCACGACGTTTCCCTAGCCGGGAAGGGGTGTTGGTGCCGCCGAGTCGTGTGGGAGCAGGCAGCTGCCTGCTCTGGCATGAGGGAGCAACCCTAACCGGCTAGCCCAGGCCAGGCCAGGCCAGGCCAAAGGCATGTGGGTGCGGGCAGCTGCCTGCTCCGGCCAGGAGCAAACCGAGCCGCCCGGGCTAGGCCAGGCCAGGCCCAAGACATACGGGTGCGTGCAGCGGCCTGTTCCAGGCAGAGGGAACAAACTGAGCCGCCCAGGCCAGGCCCGAGGCGTGTGGGTGCGGGTGGCTGCCTGCCTGGCGCAAGGAAGGGCAAAGCGGCCAGGGCCTCTTGCGTGCCAGGCTGCCGGGGCCTGCGGTCACCCCTTGCACGAGCCCCACCAGGCCAGGGCGGGAGGGTAGCGGTGGGCGTGGGGGTGAACCTGAAGGGGAAATAAAACGTTTGTCTAGTCCCATGCCAGGGATGCAAAAGCAGGGTTTACTGTAGAGATGGCAGTATGCACGTTCTGCGGGATCAGAAAGGCAGCGGTCGGGGCGCAGAGCTGCAGGGCGCCCAGGAAGTTGTCGCTGGCCTGCTGTGTGGTTCCCTGATGTGGAATGGAGAAGGCGTTGTTTTCTTTAGTATTTAAAAACAGTCATTTATGTAAAACTTGTGGGTACATCTGTGGTGTACGTTAGGGGCCATGTGACTACTTTGTGTGTTAGCAGGTCTTCACTGCTGAGCTACACTCTTGGTAGCCTCTGGGTAAGTCAGGGTCTGTAGATAATTGCCATAACCTTATTGTCTTTGTTTTTTATCCCAGGATGATCCAGAAAACAGAGAATAGATTGCTTCTAAAATGCTACATGTCAATTTATAGCCTATGTATGCGTGTCATGGAGCAGAAACTTGTGTTTGCTCCATCTCTCCACGGCAAGTACGCAAGTTTGCTCTGGAATTCTATGACTTGTCCTTCGTAAATTCATTGATGTGGAGAGAGAGAAACTCCTCCTCTTTTTCCCTTTGAAGCTGGTCTAAAAAAAGAAAATGGTTTCATTAAAATTAATTGTGGGTTTAGGAAAACTAATAACCCAAGCAAGTTCCTGAAAGAGGATACCTAAGGTATCCTAGCGTGAGAGCTGCTACATGTTAAGGATGTGTTACTCAGCTTTAACCTCCCACCTTCAAGGTGCTGCCAATTCCACCCACTCCTAGGCCTGGCCTCTCTCCTTTTTACCTCTCCTGTAGCCTACCTTCTTCCTCAAACCCCTTCATTTCCTTCCTCTGTTTTCTCTTCCTTTAATCATCTTCAACTTTCTTTCATTTTTTCACAGACGTTTCTTAGCGAATGCACTGAGTAGTGCACTTGAACAATGACAAACTCAACAAAGATGACACACGTTTCTTTATGGAGGTTTGCCAATGTATTTATCATCTGTATATTTTGGAGAAGAAACCACGTGTGAGCAGAGGTCAACCCTGCTAGCAGTGTTCCACATTCTAAATTGTGATGCTGAGGAAAACAAGATCAAGTAGTGAGTCTGTCTGAATCCCTGCACGTTTCAGAATGTCATTTGTGCCATACTTTGGACAACACAGGAGAGGTGGCCTTTAAACAAGGGAGTCAGTGTGTCTGGATAATATAAACAGAAAAGTTCGAGTACTGAAAATAAACACTGAAGCCTAAGGTGAGTGTTTGTCCTGAAACTTTATAATGAAAGTTTTGCCATGGACTTCAGTAAGCAAATAGTCGTTATAGTGCAGATAATAAACAGAAAATACAGCTTGTGTCTCATGA